GTAAGTGACAGGAAATACGGCATACTTAATGTTTTCCTTCAAAACACTTGATTCTAGAAAAAAAGAATCAGCAATACTAAGAAAAAAAATCTTAGTTTTCTTCTGTTCCCTTCAAGCAGCTGATTTCCCTGCTTTTGACACGTTCTTCAAAATGCTTCCCTCCCTCCGGATTGCTTGCACTTCCCACCTCACACCTAGGAGCTATCCCCTGCTTCATCCCACACGCTTTTGTGCTCAAGTTGTACGCACGTCCCCGAGCTATTCTGCTGTTGTCTTTCTTCTAAGACTTCCAGAGGATTTTATTCCCAACTCCTTCATTTCTACCACTTCTTTCTGATGCAAAAGCCTGTAATATTTTGTTCTTCATCCTTCTACTCATACAGCAGTCCTTCTCATGGATTTCATTCATAATTCATTATCTTCTTCAGCCTCCTGGTTTGCATTTAGTTCATTTCCACTACCCTACAGTACAATATTCAGCTGGAAGACTTCCCTTGGCCAGTATCTATGCACAGGTTGGTCTAGTCCATGGTATTATTCTCCATCTGTAGAACTGTTTCCCAAACACAGGTCTCGTACAACAGTTGGCTTTTGCAACTCTCTGCAATGCCTTTGCATACACACGCACAGAGCCCCACAGGTACGTGGCACTGAAAAAGCAATTCCTTTATATGAGCTCTCAGAATGAAGTTGGACAAATGCAGCAACACTCAAAACAGCAGAAGGGAAGTTAGAAGTGAGACTTACAGTTCAGAAAGACAAAAAATATCCATCTTCATGTATAAACACTCACAGCTCCACACTTAGGAAGCAGTCGGTAAAGGAACATGGTATGTTAATACTTGGGTGGCTGTCCAGGAAAGCTTAATTAGTGGCCAAAGACCACCCCACACCACCAGGAAGTCATGGATCATTCCCTTTTCCTCAACCAAGTTGTTAAACAGTAGCAATTACACATTTCAAGCCCCGGGAAATTAAAAGGCCATATATACCTAATGGAGCAGACTAAGTGCTGGGACACCCACGTTCCCACTAGACGTCATCCAAAGTCAGCAGTCTCACACACAAGGATTTACAGAATTTGGAAACTACATCAATACTAATTCTGTCCGCTCTAATTGACAATTTAGACAGCCAGCTCCTTTCTAATGCGTCTGTTCTTTAAAGTTATCACGTCCTTGTAAGTTGAACTGGCCCTTTTTCCTTGCTTGGCTATTTTTGTGCATCTGAGATGCTCTGCATGAAATGCTGCTTTTTATATAAAGTTTTGTTGCTTAAAGTAGAATGGGGGTACTGTGAGCTCTTACAGAAACATTTTATAATTCAAGCTGTTATGCTTCCATACTAAAAAGTTAACAAGGGGAAAGCTGTAATCACATTATGAATCGAGCCGTTTCAAAACCGAAACAGTGTAGGAAAACAGTGTATTCACAAAATGAATAGTAAGATACATTTATCCTGATTCATACAGCAAAACAAAAAAAAAAAAAGAAAGCCTCTTACACCAGTTAATAGAGGATCCAGATGAACATTTCTGTACTTATTCAACATTTACTACAAGGGAGAAGCTAGAGAGCAATCCAGAGAAGTATTTGCAATGCAATTAGGCTAGACAAGCAAGCCTGAATGTATGCCAGCTGCAGGGGCCTGCCCTTAACTCACAATCAAATGTCTAGTGTGTTGCACACTGTCTAGCATCAGCATCTCCGGTATTAAAAGTCTCATAAGATATGGACTTGTTTACTGAGCATCTTAATCAGGCTCTGAGTACATACCTAGCTGCACCTTCTACCAGTCCATACGCCAGTCCATCACCGTCCGTCAGTTTCAGCTTCCACAGATAGGAAAATCTCCGTTCAAATAAGCGCGTTCAGCTCTCAAACTAAGCTATCATTCACATTTCAATATGAGACTTGAATTCCTTTTCAGTATTCTTCAACTTTGACCCAGCTCTACCCCCTCCTTCACTGAAAAGGGCAAAGACAACAGCCCAGCAAGTGGGACAGGCAAAACAGACCTCCTTTGTTCACTTTTTTCCTTCCAGTTTTCTATTGAGGTAAATAACTGAAAGCTCAGCCAGCCTTCAGTAGCTCAGAAGAAAGCAATATAGCCAGCTTGCAACTATGTTTTCCTGCTTAACGGGCACTATGACAAAACTTAGGGCTCATCACATTAACCTTAGTAAGGAAGATGAACTCTTATGAATATTGTCTGTTAAATAAAAATATTACGGGAATTTGGAAAATGCATGAAGTTACAGTATCTTTAATACTAAACTGAATAGGCAATAAACACACATACTAATTTAAAATGCAACAAATTATCACTGCGGAGAAAGTATAACTGAATTTTTTGAATGCTATCAGCCCACTCAGGAAGGCAAAATCAAATTCATTGCATATTGCCCAGCAGACAACCTCCTACATCATTCCCTCAGCTTACATTACTGAGATGTACTGTCTCTGTATGGCTTCCCATTTTACCAGCTCTCTTCATGAAGCATAACAGAATTAACATACTCAGTGAAAACTGAATAGCACATTCAGTTTATCGTACTCTTCAGATATAATGGAAGGTAAATAATTACAGTTCAAGGTGATTTGGGACAACTGAATAAAACTAGAGAGAACAGCAATTTCACAGCTGCAAATTACAGATTTGGTTTTTAGGCTGACTGAGCCATCTGAGCTGTGCAGCACTCTGTTAACAAAATCTCAAACACCGAATATACTCGGTATGTTTTATATCCAGATACTATGGAGATGCATTTCACTCAAGCAAACAAGAAAGGGGAGACTCGTATTACATTTTCCTGACTTGAAATCGGAATCCTCAAACCAATAAAAGCCATCAATTAGAGCCACGCTTCATTAACTCCAAGAAACTGTAATTCGGTTACTAATGCTTCTGCTGTCACCTCTTTGAGCAGCAGAGAGAAAGACCAGAGCACAAGAAGCTATTAGTAGATATGAGTAAATATCCACTGGATTTGTAATTTCATTTCATGCCTGGCAATAAAGACCATTTTAGGAAGTTGGATTTACAGGCTAGAATCCTTCCTCACAAATAAGCTCTGTGGTATATGTGATAAATATTATGCTTTTGGTGAGAAGATGAAGAATGATAACTAAGGATCAGATTCTGGTGATCCCATTCACCAGAAGCATTATTACTTTTGAGTATTTTTACCGCGACCAGTAAGACTAATTACAGAACTGAGACACTAATACACGTATAATTAATTGTGGATTTATTCTGTGAGTTGTGAAGAGGGTTTTAGCTCCATCATTAAGACCAGCTGGTACACACAGACACATCATCTAATACTGACACACAGCTGTACAGTTTTCCTTGAGCTAAATCGCCTTTGCACAATCCAGAACACACATTCATTCAATGGATGCTGAGTTCTGTCAACATCAAGCCACTTGCTGTTGTGTTTTTTTTTGTTGTTGTTGTCATTTGGTTTTACATTCAGCATTCTGAGAACATACTTTCCCACCTCTACACTGATACAGTCTGACAACTAATTTTAAACACCCAGGAGAATTTCAAAGTGCTTCTAAATGCAGATAAATGACTTCTCCACAGACTTTGTTAGCAAGTTCTTTAGCAACTCTGGTGCCTTCCTTTGCAGTTTATGTTAAAAAACACAGACAGCCATCACCTAAAGAAAAGCCTGAAGTGGATACGTACAAGAGTTATCAAACAGATTACACAAATACTGAAAATACACAGCTTTATGATTTGCAGGTCCTTTAAGTCAGTGTATAACACTGTAGTTTCTCTTTCCAGCTGACATCCCTTGCCAAAAATACCTGCCAGGTGCATGCTTTAGTACACAGACTGCTCTAAAACTCAACCTGAAGCCCAGATGCTTTCTGATGTTGCACAGTGACCTACTCAATGCACAGCCCCATGCACTGATAAGCCTTACACTAACACATTGATTATGCTAAATTGTGGAATACATTGAAATTATAAATGTTGCACCTGTTAGAGCCAACGAAGTTGGTTTTTTTCATGTTTCATCCACGTTTCCCATTGCATATCTAGTCAGAATGTACTTTAATATTCAGAAACAGTGAAACAAATGGACAGGGAACATTACAGACAAAAGGAAAGCCAAGCAGTTAACACCGGCTTCTCGAGTGGGAAGGAGGTTGGGCTGAACAAAGAGCGAGGAGGTGCACATTTAGGGATAGAGGAACTCCTTATTCCGACCTGCGGACCCCACCGTAGGGTCACAGATCGCACCTCCCGTTATTTTATCTAGCCAGACGCCAGCTAAGGGGCAGCGCTCCTTTTGCCAGGTGCCTGCCCCGGACAGCCCTAGCGCCGGGGCTGCCGCCCTCCCCTCGCCAACTTCCCAGGCTGGGCACCCCGGCAGCAGGCAGCGCACACCCACCCGGTTTTGGGGCGTTTCAGCCTCGGAAACTGAGGCACCCACGCCAAAAGTTTACCCTAACGGGGCTTTTTTGAGCGAAAAACCGAGGGGCACTGGCAGCTCGAGGCTTTCGTTGCCATTTTCTGCGCCGGCTGGCAACGGGCGGCGGCAGCGCAGCCCCCGGCCCCTCGCCTCCCCCCCGCCTCGCCGCAGCCAGGTGCGGGGCCGCGCGCACGGCGGGGCCGCGCACGGGCGCGGGGGCGAGCCCGGGCGGCCGCTGCGGCTCCGCTTCAGCACAGACAGCTCCCGGCCGGCGGCCGTGCGCGAAATGGCGACCTGCCGGCACCGGGCGGCACGGCACGGGATGGGATGGGATGGACCCGGCGGAGGGACGATGCCGGCGCCCCTCCGCGACGCCACCCGCACCTGCGGCCACCAACAAAGCCCCGCGGCCACCGCCGCTGTCGCCGCGTCCCCGGCAGGTGCCTCCCTCCCCGCGGGCACCCCCCGGCTCCGTCCCCGCCGCAGCGCCGGGCGAGGCGGCGGCACCCCCGGCAGCTCCCTCGCCCGCCGTCGGTTCACCGGCCGTCGGGACGGGCAGCCCGGTACTCACGGGAAGCCGCGGCCCCTCCGCACGGGGACAGGGGTCGTGCTGGACCCCCTCCTTCTTCTCCTCTTCCTCCTCCTCCTCCACCGGCTGCCCGGCGAGAAGAGCGGCGGTGGCAGCGGCAGCAGGCGCGCTCCCGCGCCTATCACCTCCCCGCGCCCCCGCCCCCGCCGTACCGCGGGGCGCGCTCCCGCGGAGGGAGGGGGGGGGGGAGGAGCGCGCTTGCGCGCGGCGGGGGCGGGGCCGCGGCGGGGCTGGCCGCGGAGCGGGTCCCTCGCACCTGAGGCGGCGGGCGGCGGCCGCCATCTTGGGCGCCGGCTGCCAAAGGGTGGGCGGCGGTGGGGCTGTGGTGCCGGTGGCCGTTGTTACAGCCCGGCAGTGCCCCTCTGAAGGGGCTGTTTTGGCTAATTCCCAAGCTAAAGAACATAAAGTGTCGTCAGATGCTCGAGCACATCCCTCACAGGCTCAGTAGTGCTGCCCCATGTGCGTTTTGTAGGGTTCCTGCAGGAATTTGGGTGCCTGGGTGCGGTTGGTTAAGGAGAGGCTGTGTGAGGCTGCTTGGAGATGAGTCTCATGGGGACTGTCCCATGTCAGCCTTCCCTTGGCCAAGCATTACACACCTACACCTTGGCTTCCCCTTTACATCCTGCCCTTCATTTCATGTGCAAAGTCAGACAGCTTTTAAATACCGCTCTGAGGCTTCTGTAGGCTCAGTGCTGCTCAAAATTGATCAAAGTCTGCATTTAACACCTAAATGTGATTATCTGCCACTGCTGGACTTGCTATCAGCCATTTTAGGGGTACCCTTTTGTGCAAGGTGGTGACTTTGATAGCAGTTAATTCTTTATTATGCGCTCTGGGAAGCAGCCCTCAAGGTGAACTCTGCGGTGATAACTTAATAGTGCGAAACGCAATGCCCAAGCTAAGCAAAAAGCCCTTATCCCGCATCTCCACAGAAACCCAATTTCAACTCTGGCAAGTTAAAGCTGAACAGCTGACCCACTGGAAAACAACACTCTAGATGAATAACAGATTCTATAAATGATATAGCACATGCATATAAATATCCAAGGGATAAACAGTAACTCAGGCACTACTGCTTCAGACTTTGGAGATATTCAAGCTTCTATCAATCTGATGCCAGGATATTACTGTTTGAGACTTGAATATGTAAAGAAGATTAGGTGGATGTGAAGAAAATCCTTTTTATAAAGAGAGGGAAGTAAGTGCTTGAATTTACTGTCTAGCCCTAAATGTTCTTTTTGTTTGCTTACATTTATTCTTACTGTCAAATTCTCATATTCGCAACTAATTTATTCAACCTTAAACACAAAAAAAAATATATATGGTTTAAGTAAACATTATGCAATGTGTAAACAGAGCCTAAAATACTAGGGTATTGCCTTACTTTGCTTCCAAGGTGCTGTGTTTCATAAGGAGAATATGTAACCAGTCTTGGCTTTGAGAAGATGTGGGCATAAAATGCTGAGAGAAATGTAGTTTCTTATACAGCTGTCTTTTTGCATCTTTGCCAGATTCCCAGGGGAACATGGCGAGTCAAACCTTCAGGAGGTGTACTGAGGAACTTCAGGGGAAACAACTTGAGTTGAAAGTGTATTTTATTTTAAATATAGAAGCTAAGATCCAGTTCGTATTTGGATGATGGAGAGCACCTACATTGATTTTTATAAGCACAAACCAACTGGGCTATGGCATACCACTTGCTGCAAGTTAGACCATAGAAACCAAATAAATAAAGACATATCACTGTTGCAAGGGAGGAAACAACGCTACATTGATATAAGATGAAGCTGAAATGTTGCACTTGTAATGATTACACACTTATGATACCCCATAGAATTTGAACTCCATATTTTTTATATTACTGAGATAAACAAATACATACATTCAGTGGCATAAGCCATAACTTTCTAAATGGTGGCATAGATATGATTATCAGTAAACAAGTAAATTCAAAGATTTGTGCAACCTACTGCAGAGCTAGGAGCTATTTCTTCTGGCGACAGCATCTACTGCTGTGGACTAGTGCCATCAACATTGGCAACAGCACCAAGCAAAAAAGAAACAGGTGGGCTTGTTCCATAAAAATGCAAGCAGAAGTTGTGTTGCTGAAGGAATATTACATTTAAGAGTCATTCTCTGCTGCCTTGCATCATCTCTGGAGTCATCACACTACTTCTTGTAGCATTTCTCCTTAGTTTGCCTGCTGCAATTATATTAATGAATGAGCATTTCCAAAGTAGTCTGATGTTACATTAATAACAACCTTGATTCATTTCTACCCTGTATTACAAAACCTCTGTATTACAAAACATCTGCTGAGTTTGTTGTAGTCTCTGATTAGGGAAACAACGATCGGGTGCATGACACAGTCATTTAATCAATACACAAAACAGATACACATACACATGGTTGCAGTACCTTGATACAGGAAAAGCTATCAAAAACTTGTCTGAGGGAGCTGTTAGGCATGATCTGGACATTTGCAAAGTGTTTTTAGGAAGAAGATAGCAACTCAAATATTCAGAGGGCTGGTAGAGTGGAGGAGACTATAGCGTTAGCTGAAAAGAATTCTTTGACATTTTGTTCTTAGACCAGACCTTTTAAAGGGATATGGAAAGACATCTTGCGTTGTTCATCTCACCTAACTTTAGATGTCTACTATGTCAGTGTCTGCATCTGAGCTAGTCACTCTCTCAACTGAGCATAAAGGGAACTAGAAATAGACGCTTCTAGCGGATGATTCATCTAACCTATTTTAGATGTCTACGCTAGGATGAGCTGAGCTGCATCCTAGAAATGCCTTTTTCTCTCCATTGACTGTAACTGGACCAGCGGGTGTCTCGTTCGGCTGTGAATGTCTACATTTCAAGAGTCTACATTTACTAAGCTGAATGCCAGCCATGGGATTCTAACTTGAGTTCTGCCACTGTTCCACTTGGTCTTAGGTTTTACAATGGTGAATGGAGCGCAGTGTGGCACATCAAGTACTTTACACAAAGTAAAGCGGAGAAAAATACCTGATGGAATGTATTGAAAGTCAGAAAAATGTAGGCTAATCTTGTTCAGTAGATTATGGGGCCTTCCCAGTTGTAAATTGAATGGCTTTTGAAATTATTGTAATATATTTGTTGGCATTTCAGGTTTCTTTCAGAGGACCTTCTTATACCATAATAGTAAAACAAATACACTTACTGCTGGACAAATACTTTACTTTTTGGAAGCTAGTGCTTCTTTACTATTGTAGCATAAAATGTGAATATTTCTAAGCAGAAAAGAGACCAAAGACAACATCAAAAGCTTAAGCAAAGATGTCTAATGTTAAAAGCGGTGCTGCTTGGTATATGGCAACAAAATCAGCCTTCACGGAGGATGTGTTTTGATGTAAAGTATGTTGAGAACTAGGCTAGCAAGAGAATCATACAGAAAAGACATTGCACAATAGTGTACTGATATGTTGTCAAGAATTGAAAAATAATACTTCAATTTAGGCTTCAGAACTATTTTCTCAAAAGACGATTCATGACTACAAATTGTACTGCCCTGCCTGATACATAAGCTATCATTTAGTCTTCTTTCACAAGAAATGCAGAGTTCTTCTAGCACCTAGGAAGGCCAGCAGGCTAAGTAAAGACCTGGTTATTGACAACCATACCAAAATGCTGTGTTTTTAATCTTGCCTTTTTAGGACTTCAGATATTCCAAGCTGCTGTGAAAATTCACTGCTGCCAAGCTGGTGCCAGAAATTCACAGGACTGAAACTTCCTTCAGGAATTTAATGTTTGAATGCAAAATGGAAGGAGAGGATCACGTTCTTTGAGGAGCAGATGGAGAGAAGGAGCTGCCAGTACTATCACCTGTCCCATCTTCCATTAGCTTGATCTTTACAGTGCTGAGGAATGAAGCAGGAAGTCTAGGTTCAGTTGTCGCCATTGCTGCATTTCTCACACACCCTGGACAGTTGTAATTACAGGATGATATTACCACCTTGGTTTAGTGCGCAGCTTAATCAATCAGATGGAAGTGCTTTGAAAATGCTTAACAGAGGAATTTGGGGCTGTGAAAAAGAGAGGTGAACACCCAAAAATGCCAAAATATGCAGATCACAGTACTTTTTTGGCCATGCTCAAAAGATGTTCTCAAGGGACATAAAGGACCTTTGGAACTTGTCAGGAATTTGAGAGAGAAAGGATTACATAAAATACATATTTAATGTGATCTGTAGCTTTCTACAGAAACCACAGCCATTTTTGACAGCTGTATGATGAAATGGCAACATGACAAAATGGCTCAAATCAATGGGAATTGGATATTGATTTCAACTGGATTAATTTTAACTGGCATATAAACAAAGGGAGGAAGTCCTTCACACAACAGACTAAGCTTTATGAAAACACCAAACATGGTTTGAGTGAATGACGGGTGTTCCCATTTTTCCATTAGAAGAGATTGGCTGAGCCTGTGAAAAATCTCTTACAAGCCTAATTCATGGTGCACGATTCTTGAAAAGCTGCTTCCACAAAGATCAAAAAAGTCTACAGACACCAGGCAGCTTATCCAAGGGACTTCCAAAGGGCTGAATACTAAGCGGCTCCATGTTCAAAACCAGGAGCTTAGAGTTAAGCTTGACCTTGTGATTTAACCTGTTCCATCCTTCTGCTAGATGTCTCACGGGTTAAGAGAGTTCACTGGGGAGTTCTCCACTGTGGAAATGAGCTAGGAGTAAATTCCAAGATTATGGAAAATGGTTAATACCAACTATTAGAACTATAGCTATAGCTGCTCTAATGAAGCTTGATTCTAATCCACCAAATGTTCACGCGCTTTATTTTGCATATACATAATATGAATAAACTTAATGATTCATGCGCACACACAAACATGTATTTAAGCTTTCCCAGGTGGCAAAGGCTGCTGGTGCAAGGCTGGTGAAAGAGTAAGGTCTGCTCCATTTCCCAACACATTGATATGAATTTTGATCACATGCAGTAAGGCTTAGAACGAAGGAAAGGTTTTGCCTGGGAAAATGAAAAGAAAGAGGGAAAATCTTCGGTGAAAAATTACATCAATTAAGTCTTTTTGAAGTTATCATTTAGTCTTGAACTAGAAAAATGCCCAAATAGCTTTTCTAGTCTTGCTTTCTTAAGATACACCTTGTTCTT